AACCATACTCTTGAGGAGGCTCCCTCTCCACTTAATCCCTTGGTCCCCTATCCCACAGGCCTCCACAGCTTTCACAGATGGTGGTGGGTAACAAGGGGATGTATATGCAATATTTCAAGGAAACAGCGACACTGAGTCCTATCTTTTCTTCCTCCCAGATAAATCCACCCAATTCAAGAAAATGTCTGGCATCTTCCTGGTTATAACATACCTCAAAGAACCATCTAATCTGTATTCAGACAGCACTACTCCCTGGGCTATCCCGCTCTTATGTTAAATTTGATGATAACCCCTCTTCCAACTAATAATAAAAAATTCAAATATACTCCGAATAAGAACATGCCCCATTGTTTATCACCCATATCCAAATACACTCATCTCTCCTTAGGCCACTTTATGGTGGTGATGCTCTAGTCAATAAAATTGCCACAACTGGGGCCTTCACTATGCCACACCTCACTGCTAAAGAATTCCATCAACTGACCCATACCAACTTAAGAGGACTACAACTTAAATTCCCCAATGCCCCCCAAAACACCTAAAACATATTCTCAAAACTTGCTAGTCTTGTGCCTCCCTAATCCACACTCCAACTATACTTTGGGCACTAATCCCAGAGGCCTTAAAGCCAATGCCTTTTGGCAGACTGATGTCACCTAAATTTCAATCATTTGGTAGATAGAAATTGTTTTAAATGTGTTTTATTCATTTTACATACCAACCACATTTCACCCACTCCCCCTCCCAATCTACCTCCACCCACTCCTCCAAAAGAGTAAGGATTCCCATATGGCACCTTCAGTTGAAGCAGAACCAAAACCCTCCCCTCTGCATCAAGGTTGAGCAGGCATACTAACATATGAAATGGGTTCCAAAAACCAGCTCATGTACCAGGGATAGATCCTGGTCCCACTGCCAGGGGTCCCACAAATAGTCCAGGCTACACAACTGTCACCTGCATGCAGAGGGCCTAGTTTGGTCCCATGAAGGCTCCTCAGCTATTGGTCTAGTCAGTGAGCTTGCCCTGTCTGGGTACCATTCTGCAATGTCCTATATGACCCCTCCAGTCAAAAAGATGACATGCCTCTCAATTACAGAGAAGACAAGGAGGAAGCAACACAGGTGCTCCAGGACACATGACCAGATTACATGGGGTTACATACATGCCCTTATTGATTCAGTCCTTTGCAGCTACCCACCCCCACTTTCCCTTTCCATTATTCTTATGGCTGTTTGCGCTCTGTTAGATGCCAATACTTAATGCTCATGCTCTGTCCAGCCACCCCCCCCAATGTTTTTCAATGGTGTTTCTTCCTTAGCAAGACTTACCAATGTCACAACATCATTATAGGTTCTGGGGATTGCCCAACTGAATGATGCCAGAACACTGTCTCCTTTCTCCTCTACCCCAATTCCACCAAATGTTCAAATGCCCTTTTCATTTGCTGCCCTAAAGACAATTTAGATTCGAACAAGAATTCCTGGCTGGGGTACAAACCTATGGGGAATGCAGGAGATGATATTGAAAATTGGAAGAGTCTCATAATATAAACTCCAACAAGGAGAGCCTGCTTCTTTACAATACCTGATCCCTGAAATGAGTGCTGGCACATAGGAGAAACTCTACGCTTCTCCCATAGCACAAACTCCTGTTGTTGATCTTCATGTATCCCCCAACAACTTGTCCCAGCATCCCGGCCCATTCTAAAATATCACAATATTCTCTCTTATGAAAAACAGGTTCATCAACAGGTCAAAGCCATTGTGACATGGAACCATTCAATATGTAATTAACATTCTCCCTTTACTACTCACCCTAATGCCTCTGCTTCTTTTGTGCATCCAGCAATAGACCTCTGTTGACAGCTGTACCTGTAAATACCACTCTCCTTTACTATGGGACTACAAAAAGTTTCATTTGTTCTTGCCTGTCAGATATTCCCCATTCAACTGCTTGTCCAACTATTTGTATTTCCAGTCAGGACAAGCCTCCTCATTACCAATGTCACTAACATCACTCTTTCCAGATGGACATGTGTCACCTGTCCCTTTTTTTGGTGCAAGGGAAACTCCCAACCTAAGTGTTAGTTTTATTTTGTTCACCTTTTGTATACCTATGATGATTACCACTTGAATAGGTACCTATTTGAGGGAGAGGAAATCACTCTCCTTCACAACTGCTTACAGAGAGAGATTTTCATCCCTCTGCTAGTGGAACTTGGGCTCAGCCTTTCTTTGGGTGCAGAAGGCTCTGCAACCTCTGCCATCTACAAACCCATCACCTGGAAGGAGACTTTTGAGACAAACTTGATCAGGCCATGCATCTACAACTGAAAGCATTGAGTCACCTCAAAGAGACATGAACTCTCTTGCCAGATTTGTGCTTCAAAACAGAAGAGCACTAGACCTAATAACTGCTGAACATGGTGGAACTTGTATGGTCTTGGGAGAAGAATGTTATTTCTTTGTCAATGAGCCCAATTTAGTGGAACACAATGTTAAGACCCTTGAAGTCCTACAATCTTTATCCTGTGATAGGAGATGTCATTCTGTAAATATGTCTCTCTTATTGGTTGGTGAATAAAACACTGTTGGCCAATAGGGAAGCAAGATAGGCAGGTCTAGGAGAGAAGGAGGATTCTGGGAAATGTGGCAGAGAGTCACCATGTGATCCCAGGAGGAGAGGACACATGCATCTGGTGTTCTCAGTAAGATAAGACCATATATATATATATATATATATATATATATATATATATATATATATATATATAGTTATATATGGTTATATATAGTTATATATATATATAGTTATATATATAGTTATGGGTTAATACTTAAGACAAAACTAGCCAATGAGAAGCCCTAGACATTGGTAGACAGCATTGTAACTAATGAGAGTCTCTGTGTGTTATTTGGGGGCTCTGAAGCAGCAACAGGATCCAGGCAGGAATCTCACAACAATCCTGGTTCCATAATCCCTTGTTTTCTTGGTTCATATCCTCTTTTGGTCCTCTGATTATAATGCTTTATTCGGATGCGTGCCCCCTGCCTTATTCAGTTCCTCCAGTGACAGATCACCACCATTGTTAAAATTACCACCAGTAAGGTCATGGTTCATTACTAGGACCTGGACACTTCTGACATAGGCAACACATTCCTCAGGGCTTACAAGACAACTCTCCAGTACAAAATAAAATAGGGAGAGATGTTGGAAGGCATTGTCTGCTGATTAGAGGCTGAAGTCTACCATTCCCTGGCAACTTTCTCTAAGCTTGGCAACATAGAGAACTCCCTCCCCCCAGGAAAAGCTTCCTCCTCTCTACCTAGCCTTATTTGAAGGATGTTTCTAGGCCCAGGATGCCTGACTCATCTCAAGGTGACAGGCACAGTTTGCAGGCACAGTTCCCTGCAAACACTCTTCCCACATGGTAATTAGACAAGTGTTCTAGCCATTTTGATAGGACCCTACTGCCACAAATGAAGCTGTGTGATAGTGTGCCACTTAATGCAAAATTAGGGTTTGTCCCCAGGCTCCTCAATCCTATATATTGCCTATAGTTTGGAATAAAGTTGATCTGTTTCACTAAAAGCGGTCTCCTGAAGGAGGGTTGTTTCCATTTGTGCTCACAAGCCACCTTCAAAGCTTTCTTTAGTTGCTTCTGTCAATTTACCCTCAAGGACTGGTGACCAAAAGGCCAAAAGGGAAAAGAAGGCCCCAACCCAAGACCTGGTCTCAAAAAGGAAGAAACACAAAGAACAACATGCTAAGATTTCTCTCTGAATTCCAGTCAGGCATTGTGGCACAAGTACCTGCACTCATACACACTAACATACAAGAGACTATCTGTTGTATGAAACAATAAATACCTGTAAAATAGATAAAGAAATGTGGTCAGTAATTGCTCATGGTCATGCATTCATTATTTTGGAAACTAATAACTTCAAACTGGCAAGATATGTGAGAAATATGTACATGGTGATCCAACAATTTGATTTCTTTAGAATTATGATGATAAGAAGCTTCCCTTCTCCTCTCCCCACCAAACATATGGTCAGTTGTCTATATAGTTCTGACTGGTCTAGAGCTTACTATGTAGACCAGGCTGGCCTAAACATTATCAAAGCAGTCTACCTGCCTCTGCCTCCTGAGTAACTGAACTACATTTAAAAAATGACTTATGAATAATTGAATATTGATAGTAAATTATACAAGTTAAGACGTTAAAGATTAAATGCATTTATATTAATTACAATGAATACTTGTCATATAAGAGAACTATTGTAATTAAATTATGTAGATGTGCACAAAAATGGCATACATGCTTGTGGTAATCCTTAAAATTTGTATATGGAAAGACAGAAAGTAAAAGGAAACTTTGAAATAAGTGATAAATATTTAAAAATTATGACACATTTGGTGGAGTAACAGTACATATAACTGTTCTTCTTGCTTTTTTATTATAATATGACCATAAACATGTTTTCAAAACCCATATTAGGATTGTTGGCAAGTTCATAGGTTTATCAATGTATCAATGGGCTGGGACAGTTAGGAAGAACTGGGTCTATGTTATGAGATTTTAATCATACTTTGTAGTAACGACAGAAAGTAAAAGGAAACTTTGAAATAAGTGATAAATATTTAAAAATTCTGACACATTTGGTTGAGTAACAGTAAATATAACTGTTCTTCTTGTTTCTTTTTATTATAATATGACCATAAACATGTTTTCAAAACCCATATTAGGATTGTTGGCAAGTTCATAAGTTTATCAGTGTATCAATGGGCTGGGACAGTTAGGTTGAACTGGGTCTATGTTATGAGATTTTAATCGTACTTTGTAGTAAGTTGAAAGAACAAACAGTGAAATTAATGGCATAGGTTAAAAGAATCACATCAACTTTTACTATGCACAAGATATTATCCAGAAAATATTTTTTATCCTTAATATTACATAACATTCAAAATACTAAAAAAACATTCTTTGTATCTAGTTTCAGCAGCCACTAACAAAAGAACGCAAATGATTTTTCCCAATGAATTCCTCACTTAATAATAACTTCCTTATAGCTCTCTTCAAGGACTCATTCCTCAGACTGTAAATAAAAGGGTTGAGTGTTGGGGGTAGTACTGTGTAAAAGATAGAGAACAAGAAATCTAAAGCAGTTGGAAAGTCTGAAGTTGGGTTTAGATATACACAGTAGCCAGTGGAAAGAAACAAAGAGACAACAAAAAGGTGGGGCAGGCAAGTAGAGAAGACCTTAGACCTGCCTTCAGCAGAGGGCATCCTGAAAACTGTGGAGAATATCTGAATATAAGAGAGGACAATCCCAACGAAGCAGGCAAAAGCCAGTGCAGACAGGAAAACAACTGCTCCCATCACTCCAAGGTAATCATTAGAACAGGAGAGCTTGAGCAACTGGGGGATATCACAGAAGAATTGGTGGATTATTTTGGCCCTGCAGAATCTGATAGAGAATGTAGTTGCTGTGCACAAAGTTCCTGAGATGCCTCCACTTACCCACACTGCTGCCACAGCCCACATGCACTTTCTGGGACACATGATGACCTCATAGTGCAGTGGGAGGCAGATGGCCACATAACGATCATATGACATCACTGT